TCCAAATGGACAACGACTGACTGATTCATAAATTAATGATTCCCTTTCATTTATCTTTGCCAGAATGTTGTGATGCTGATGAGTGACATTGTGGACTGGCTAATCCCAGACATCCCTAAAGACATCAGCATGCAGATCCACAAGGAAAAGATTCTGTTGGTGGACCTCTTCATGAAAGAAGAGCAAGGGAAGATCCATATCCTTGAAAGCAGGGCGTCAACGGGCACCAAGGAGATCTTCAGCAGGAGCAACAACAACGTCAGCAGCACAACGGCCCACTCGTGCTCCCGACTGCACACCAAAAGCACAAAAGCTTCTAATGCCAGTGATGATGTTTCCATAGTTCAGTCTTAGTTACAATTTCAAAGTTTGCTCGTAACTTACTTGCTGAGGCCAACCTAATTTCTGTGTTCTTCTTCATGTTCAGAACATTCCAACAACTAAGAAAGCAACTGGTCAATGAGGTGCGGCCAAATGGGTTGCAATGTGTGCTGTACGTAGACAAGTGCGCACTCACATTTGTGAATGTGTACAGGAATCTGTAAATGTGTATTCAGCTTTGCATGCATAGAGAGATTTAAGAATTTGTATAATTTGTAAATGTCTACAAATATATGTACTACAATGTGTACACAAAACCCCCAATTGTGCGAAAGATTTTTACATGTGTATAAGAATGGGAAAAAAAAAGTGTACTTTTGTTTGAATGAGTCCAAGGTCCAATGGAGATATTTAGACAAATTAATGTGAGGACATTTGTCATCATCGCAGCTTCTCATTTTAAGTTTTACTAGGCCACAGTTCTTATTTGGGGTTCACAAACCTGACTGAACCTTGAAATAACGCATATGAATTGTTTATTGAAAATTAAACATAGCTGGCAGATGAGAATCGCAGAGCACTGGCTTCTTTATGAATCTGGAGAGCATTAACAGGAATACCATACCAGATCCAAGCATTCATCCACCTATATGGTTTCACAGAGTTGTTTTTTTTTTTTAAGTTCTTTTTGGTGACCTGCTCGGAAGATTTTCTTAATCTAGAGTTATTCCCTTTTGGGTCACTCCTGGTAACTTCGGCTAAAAGAAAATATAAAATACTGCACTTTATAGGTGAAAACATTCATTGAACACGTGTATTGTGTAAAGTCTTAGTCATCCAAGTCATTGTAATGTCATGTCATGTATGATGCAAAAACAACATTTCAGACA